CCCCCCCCCCCCCCCCTCTCGCTCTATATATATATATGTATATATACACATTTAATCTGTCTCTCTTGTAGCTATCTATACTTCATACAAGAAATGAAGAACCAAAATGAGAGATGTATATATGCATATCCTAACTCTGCTAATTTAACAGAACTAAGGGCTTATGACTCTTAAAGCCACTGGATCCTGCCATGAAACTTTTTTCACATTTCTATTCAACCCTTATATATATTCATTCAATCTGTCTCTATTGTACCTATCTATATTTCTTACAAGAAACTGTGAAGAATCCAACTGAGAAGTAGGTGTATATATGCCATATTGGTCTTGAATCCCAATCCTACCAATAGAACTATGAACTCAAAACTCTTAAAGCCACAGGATCTTGCCATGAAACCTTTCTCTTCACACCTCTATTCAACCCTTTCTTCACGTTTTTGCAAATTGGCAACTTTATTTCACCCTGCAACTCATCGTTTCCTAGCACCCTGCTCTTCATGTCCTCAGCGTCGGTTTCTTTGCCATTAGCCTGCGACCCTTCTTCTCTCTACCACCAAATGGGCAAACCCGCGAAAAAGATTATGAATTTCTCAACACCCAACAAACAAAAAAATGTCTTGAGAAATAGCAGCTTTGGACTATACCGAGATCTCGTTTAGGTCAAAGACAAGAACTTTACTGATGTTTGAAGTGTTTCCATCTCCATTACAGGTCCTCTCTGTCTGGTTAAGATCAGGAAGTGACATGGGTGTTCTCGAAACCTTGTTTCCATTGTTTCCTTTGTTCCTCTTTTGCTTCTTGCCCAAGTCACCAGTTGATTTCTCCATTGCTTCCTTTCCATTGTACATTGTACTCTTCTGTTTCATATCGAAACATGCCACCGGCAGTCTCATACCTGCGGTTTGCTTCTTCCTCTTGGCGTTTACTTCACTTGAAACCCTAAAATCTCCAGATTCCGACAATCTCATCATCTCCAGAGAGGTTCCATGACTTCGGTCTTGCATCAAATCATTGTATCTCCGCTTAAGAAACCTGTTGTTTGATCAAAACACACTTGTAAAGTTCATGAATGGATCAAAGGAGACATTTATCTCGACATGTCTCTTCATGGAAACAACAATAGATTACAGTCATATTTATTCAGAACACATAGTAAATTAGGTTAAAACATGAAGAAGAGATGTTATACCTTACTTCTGCCCTGAGAGTCGATCTTGTCTGCTTCATCATCTCTAGATTCCTTCTCGTGACCTCGTTTTCCTGTGAAAACAACCAAAACAAGGAAGAAAGTTGAAAACTTTTCTCCACTTTCTCGCTCTGAATTCCAAATTCAGACAAAAACAGGACATAAGATCACCCAAAATTATCATAGAGATCACCAGATCCAAAAGGAGGCAAACCGAAGGAATATGAAAATCTTCAAACAAAGAAACCCTAGAAAAGTGATCACCTTTTCCAACTCTTGATAGTCCTCCATAAGGGTTTCATGCTTCAACCTGATCCTGGGATCTGCGCAGGATGCAGCAGAAGCAGAATCTTTCTTCATCTTCCTCATCGGATCTCCTCAACAGAAGATGGATCGCAGAGAAAACCAAAACGGAGGTTGGGGGTGAAAGAATAAGAGAGAGAGAGAGAAGAAGGAACACAAAAGAGTTAGGATTTGGGTATTCCTGTTTCGCCTGTGAAACCCAGACCAAAGCCCAAAGAAGACCACAAAGACGCCACCACATAATTGCGTGAGGTGTTTGTAATAAAAATGCTTTCTTTTTTGGAGAGACTTTGAGGCAGACCAGACAGAACAGAACTTACGAGTTGTGATCAAGATGGAAAAAGAAGGGGGAAAAATCTTTTTTTTTTTCATTTTTTGTGAGGCCTTTAAGAGGATGATGCAGAGGGGTATTAACACCCAAAAAAAAAAAAAAAGCTCCTCCCTTTTATTGTTTTTGGTTGGGAGGCGCATCATCTCCTTCTTCCTCTATTTTTTCTTTTTCCCTTCCTATGCCCACATGTGCCATTGAGGAAATTGAGTGCTTACACTGTTGGATATATATATATATATACACATATATTGAATTTTGATGGTTTCCTCGCTGGATCTAGAGAGAGAAGAGTTGGGCCTAGAGAGAGAAGTGAATGATATGATAAAGGATGGATGGTAACCAATCGTGGGGAGGAGCATGAAGATGAAGAGAGAATGAGAAGAGAGAGACGGACACATATGGAGAAATAATTGGTGTATTATCCATGTGTTGTTTATGTGTATACATGTGCAGTGCGGAGGATGACGTGGACCCCTCAACATCCTCGTCATCACAATTTACCTTTATACCCCTTCAAATTAGGACGGGGCGTTTCGGTTCGGAACCGGACCGAACCGAACCGTTAAAACGATATTTTTTCTCACCCGAAACCGTTGTTATTTTTCGAACGGTACTATTTTTAGAGAACCGAATTTTTCCGAAATCCAATCGAACCAAACCGAACTTTAAAAATCGCGAAAAATCGAATATTTTTAAAGGAAATCTATCATATTTTTTAATAAAACCCGGAACCGAACCGAATCGATACCGAAACCGAACCGAACCGAATACAATAAAAACCCAATTGGCACCTATTTTTCTAAAACCGAAAGAACCGAACCGATTTATTTCGTCCCGAACCCGAACCGTTTCTCGAAACGTCCACCCCTACTTCAAATACCCCAAATCTAGGGTGAGTGTTTCGGAAAATAGTTCGGATTCGGGACGAAAATGGATCGGTTTGATTTTTTCGATTTTATAAAAATAGGTACCAATCGGTTTTTATATTGTATTCGGTTCGGTTCAGTTTTAGTATCGGTTCGGTTCGGTTTCGGGTTTTATTAAAAAAAAGATAGATTTTTAAAAAAAAATATTCGGTTTTTCGGAATTTTTTAAAATTCGATTCGGTTTCGAGAAAGTTTGGTTCTCTAAAAATAATACCATTAGAGAATTGAGAACGATTTTGGATCAGAAAAAATATAGTTTTTTTTATTCGGTCCGACCAGTTCGGAACCGAAACGGCCACACCTACCCAAACCCCCTCCTTTGTTGACCCTGTTGTTTTCATGTAGACCCAGTTTTGGAATAAACTATTTCAAAATTCGTAGTTTAATCTATAAAATATTAAAATATAACAGAATTAATCCGAACCACAGCCTAAAATATCTATATAAAAGGAAAAAAAAAATGACTGATTCATACGCATATCGAGCCTCGTATAGATCCCAAGTATATAAGGCCCATAACACAAAGCCCAATAAGCTCTATTTTGTTATGCAGCGCAATAGCTTCATCAAAGGAGTCGAAAGAAATAAAACCAAAAAAAAAATATCTCCTTTTTCCAGTTTATCTCCTCTCCCTCCCCCCTGTTCTCTAGTCTTCTCTTCGAGCGGAGAAGCATGGCGATGGCGTCTACAGCTGCGACAACCGATTTCTCGAAACCTTTTGTCTCTCCTTTATTCCGAGGTCTGAACCTCTCATTCTTGATCTCTCTGTCGCGTTATCGTGAGTAAGTATGAGGTTGAGTGTGTAACTATGTACGTCTCTGTGTATGCGGTATGTATACATTTGCTTTTATCTTGTTTTTCTCGTGCTTTGCAATTCGATGTCCGATTCCAGTTTTGTGGACGGAGACCCATGATGCAAGCATGACGACCGAGTTTTGAGGTTTAACTGGGTTCAGTTGCGGGTTGATCTGCTTTGAAAATGGGGATTAGGGTTTACTAATTTGTAGTCGAAGTTACTCTCTTTGACTGCATTTCTTGTGCGGCTATTCAGCTTTTGTGAATTCATGGGTAGCTTCCGGTTGATTTCAGGAAAAGCGAATTTGAATGCACTTTGCGGCAACAACAGTCGTAACCTAACGTGGCCAAAGCAGCAGAAGTCCGGAAAAGGTTACAGGTCACTTCGTGTTAATGGATTATTCGGAGGTGGGAAGAAGGAAGGCAGTGAGAAAAGTGATGATGCGCCTTCAAAGGTGCTCATCTTTATGCTTTAGATATGAAAACTGCCTCTGATATATGTATAATGTGGCTAGCTAGTAGCTTCTTGCAAAAAAAAAAAAAAAGATCGAAGCTGCTTTTGCTCCAATGAATTAGATTGATATTTTCTATACGGACACGCTCATTTTGTGTTTCGGCAGCTCTATGCGTTCATTTCTACTCCCCTGTATATGCCTTGCTTTGGTTCTGTTCAACATTAGATCAAAATCTTTGCCTTTCTCCCAAGAATCATCGTGTTTTCCAACATTGATATGATATGCTGGCTTGTTTGCAGGATCAAAAAGTTGCCACCGTCAAAATCCTTTCGCCCTGACAAGTTTTTCTTTTCTTTTTGTAATCTTTTTCTAGGCAGGAATTCTTGGTAATATGCAGAATCTGTATGAGACCGTAAAGAAAGCCCAAATGGTCGTCCAGGTCGAGGCAGTGCGAGTGCAGAAAGAGCTGGCTGTGTATGTCTCATTAACCATACGATTTTGTAAATCATAAAGCTTTTCGGAGTGTATCAGTTTTATGTCCGGTCTTATTGCACTTTTCAGGGCAGAGTTTGATGGTTACTGTGAAGGTGAGCTCGTAAAGGTATGTATTGATATAATGATAAATCTAGATATGCAATAGAACAGTGGCTTCAGGAATCAGGACCTAACTCCACTATTGCATTACCCATGATCTGAAACTTGTGATTTCATTTCAGGTGACATTATCGGGCAACCAGCAACCGGTCCGTACTGACATAACTGAGGCAGCCATGGAGTTAGGTCCTGAAGTGAGTAGCCACATATCTCTTCTCATATCCTTGTGTTTAACCCAACTACTCCAAAAGAATCATTCCTTAACTCTTCTTTAGTTTATCAGATCATTTGCTTATGTTCCTCTCTCTCTATCTCTGTTGCAGAAACTTTCTCTATTGGTCACAGAAGCGTACAAGGATGCGCATGCAAAGAGTGTCCAGGTAAGCCATATCTGCCACCACAGCTATATACATATATATATATATATATTGATTCTCTTGTTCATTGGGGCTAACAGAAGGACCCACCCTGACTTGGCAGGCCATGAAAGAAAGAATGAGTGATCTTGCTCAAAGCTTAGGCATGCCACCTGGTCTCAGTGAAGGACTAAAGTAATCTACTGTTCTTCTCTCACTCTGAGTTCCCCCCAGGTACGAGATGTTACAGTTTTCTACTATCAGTCAGGCAGAAAGAAGCCAGAGCATGCTGTACTCTACTCTCAAAGAATCAGTAAAAAAAATATATTGAAACCTTTGCCCCTCACAGTTTTTGTTTTCCTGAATATGATATGGAATATCAGCATTTCTTTCTTGTACTGGAAGCTCTCCTGAACACAAGAATGATTCCATCTTTCAAGAAAAAATAATAATAATGATAATGATAATAATTCGATTTTACGCGAATAGTTCCTAATCTGTTATCTTATGCTCAAATCTTGAAAACCCTCCAACGAATTTGTCTTGAAGGTCAATAGAAACATACATACATACATACATATATATATATATATATATGCTCTCACATGTATGAAGAAGGCCTAAAAGAGTCCAAAACCTAATCTTGCTTATGTCTTGTTACAAAAATTGAAACTTTTGTCGATGTTGATCAAAACCCAAAATGTATCTGCGATGCAATGATACAGACTCTTGGATTTGGTTAAGTTTGGGGTTTTACCGGTTATGTGTATGTACGTATGTATACCCAAGCCCGATGAATGCCAAATAAAATTGTGAATTATTCACGATTATATATAAATCTATGTGTGAATATCATGTTCTGCTTCGAATTTAGTACTCATGTAAACATATTATTATAGAAACGAATAAACGTCGAACCAAAACGACCAACCCTTTTCCTTGTCCCTCCCATCGGGCCTCTCACGTTGCATCGAGGTTCTTGTGGCTTTTTTTGGTGATGACACGTGGACATATGCGCTGTGAAAAGTTAAATTTGGGCTTCATTTTTGTTCAAGGCGAAACGTTCCCAAGGCCCTTAAATAGGCCCCATTCACATTTCTGCTTATTGGAACTCTACTTCGATTTTACCCTAGCCAGGTTCGGGAGGCCGAAGCTAAAAGCCCCAACCAAACCGGCTATATATCCTCCATCAACACCACAACAACACTTCATCTTCGAGAAAACACACACGAAAAAAAAAACATAACTGATACCCACTGTCTCTGAGATAATAAAAAAAAAATGGTTTCTTCGCTTCCGATTTTACCCCTGGTTTTCCTCTTATTTACAGTGTCACAGGCCAGGGAGATTCTGGTCGGCGGCTCGGCGCACTCGTGGAAGGTTCCGGAAAATCCTAACAACACCCTCAACCACTGGGCCTCCAACAATAGGTTCAAAATCGGTGACATTCTCGGTACGAATCCTCGGTTTCTTGATGATTAAAATATAACATTTTTAGCAACGATATATTATCGTATTTATATATAAAAAAATCCGAGTATTTTTCTCTTACGATTCCTCCAAACATTAGGGTTCGGTAATTTACAAGTTATAGTATTCAAGAATCACGTATTTACATCATTCAAGCGTATATGTATTACATGCGAATTCAAGCATATACGTATGTACGTTAAACACAAACGCATCTTTTTTCACATGCATGCATGCATCGGTCACTACTTTTTTTTTGGGGGGGGGGAATTGTGATGACAGTGTGGAGATACGATCCGAAGATAGATTCGGTGTTACAAGTGACGAGAGAAGACTTCGAGAGCTGCAACACGTCGAAGCCGATCAAAGAGGGCAAAGATGGTAACACGAAAGTGGAACTCGACAAGTCGGGACCTCATTTCTTCATCAGTGGGGCTCATGGAAACTGTGACAAAGGCGAGAAGATGGTGGTCGTCGTTCTCTCCCCCAACCATCCTCCCCCGAAACCTTCCGGCAGTACGGTTTCTCCGGCGCCAGCTCCGCCGAAGAACTCCGCCGTGGGGATGGTCGGACGTGGGTATTGTTTTGCCGGTCTTGTTGCTGCTGTGATGAGCCTTGCCTTGGCTTAGAGAGAGAGAGAGAGAGAGAGAGAGAGAGAGAGAGGATTTGTCGTTTTCAATTACGTGTTTCGGTTTAGATTTGTGTGGTTTGTATTTTTATGTTCTGCAGTTAATGGAATTTCTAGTTTGCAAATGTTCTGGGCTTCTTTGGATTATGAATTTTAAGATATAGTTTTATGTTCTTTGACCAAAATATAAAGAGTGAAATTAATATGTTTGCCATGAACCAACATTATCAAGATTAAATATTATTTTAAAAAATATATGTGCATATATACTACTACGTACAATCTAGAATTAATGGATAAGGCCAGTGAATAATGAACACAATCTATCCTATTGATTCGTATATTTTTATTTATGATTTTAGAGTTTAACCAAAAGTACCCCTTGTAATCGTGTTATAATTTTTCATAGCTAATAATAATTAATTGCGCTAATTAATCTCTCAAGTTTGTTTATATATCTTCTATGTCCGTTTCTCCTTTTCACCACAAGAAAATTACAATGACCGTTATGAAGACAAATTGAATTCTTCCATTTACTCCGACGGCTGTTTTTCCGTCTGTGAATAAATTACAATTACCGTAACGTAGTAACTTTATTAAGACAGGTTAATTTCGTACTTAATTCTTTTTCAATTCCAATTAAATATGTCTATAACGCCTTGTCCTTAGGTGGCCATTTTAATAACCGTCTTTCTTAAACAAGTTTAAAAAAATATTTGAAACAAAGCCCACACATTTTTTTTAATATAGAAAAATCTAAAGCCCAAAATGTGGAAATTAAAGCCCAATAGGGCCTTGCATATCTCCAACTTCGGTCAACAGGGGTTTTTCGGTCAAACCAATAAACTTAACTCTGAAATATCCTGGAAACTGTTGCCACGTGTCTACGTGCGTAAGTGGTGGAGATATACAGATATATGTACGTACGTACATACATACATTATAATGTGTGTATATATATATGTGGTGGATGAGGAGACGGGTGGGTCCGACCGGGACAGCCCGTTGAAACGGGTTATATAAGGAAGTCAAAGTCAATGAATTTCATAAGACTTTCGGTCTCCCTCTTTTCTCGGACAACTTGCAATTTATTTATTTATTTATTTTTTGTTATCTAACTTGCAGTATATTTAATATTTATTGTTCCTTTATTTATAAATAAGCATCACCGATATTACATATCCCGTGGATTTAATAAAATACTAAAAATAAATAATCAAGCCAAGTCGCGACGTCCTTTGAGGAAATTCTTGCAAAGTATCTTCCAGAGCTCCCTGTCCGGCTCCGTCTTGTCCATCGTAGCCTTTGCCGCATCTGCAAATTCTTGCTGCATTTAAAAAACAAAGGAAATAAGAACACAGAACGTAAATTTCGATTCATTCGAATCAAGAACACGTTCGGGATTGATTCAAGAACACAACCTTGATGTAACCGAAACCAAGAACACGGTCGATGATCTCGAAGACGATCTCTCTGTTGTACTCTGGATGACCTTGGATGCAGAAGAAGTGATCTTCAATGGAGAACATCTCCACATCGTACCTGTCTGAATACGCGATGACTTTAGCAGATTCCGGAAGCTCCAGCACTTCGTCCTGATGGCATTTAATGATGTTTAATGATGTCGGAATTTCATCGTCTCCGAAGTATTCTCCGAGCTTCTCGTCAGCGCCCTTCGCTATGGTTATGTTCCTCAACCCAAGCTCCGGTCCCTTACGAGCTCTTCCCACTTTCCCACCTCTGATTCTGCATATAATCTGTAGATACAACGATCCAGGGTCGTTTCAGATTTCGAAATGTGTATTACTCCAAGAATCAAGAGATGTATCATATGAAACTGACCTGGTGGCCGAAGCAGATGCCAAGAACCTTCTTCTTCATGTGGTCGAGCTTCTGGACGAGAGAGCAGAGCTCGAGGATCCAATCGTCGTCGGCGAAAGCGTCGTGAGAGCTTCCACTGATGACGAAACCGTCGTAGGTTTCGAGATCTTTCTCGTCGGGAAATTCGCCGGCGACGACACGGAAGGCATCCCAATGTTCTCCGGCGTCGGCGAGTATGGATTTGAACACGTCGAAGTATCCTCCGTACGACTTCTTCACGAACTCCGAGTCCGGTGTTGCCAGAAACAGAGCATATCTCTTCTGCTCCACCATGTTAATTTGAGAGAGAGAGAGAGAGAGAGAGAGAGAGAGAGAGAGAGAGAGGTGAACGAGGAATGAGATATGTGGGAGAAACACGAAGCACGGTATTTATGGTGGTGTACGTATTTACATGGAAGGTCGATGTACCTACCAAAAATAACTTCAATTTTTTTCCACGTTTTGTTCCGACTTGCGTTAACTTTATTCTTATATATATATTCACGTTCGATTATTTATGTGCCCTTAATAACGGAATCTGAATTTTTCTAATAACAACCGGGGAAAAACATGAATTTTGTATTAACAAAAAGCATTTGGTTCTCATTCTTAACGGTTTTTTTAACATTATCTTTCTGGAATCAGAATCTTTTCATTGATTAGGAAATTCGTGTAGATTTAAGGCTTTTTTTATTAATTTCCATTTGATCCCATGGTTCGATTTGTTCACTTTTCAAAAAACATATTTTTAGATATGACATGTATAGCTATAAATATAAAGCGTAATCGTTTTTTTCTGAAAACTATGAATATTTTCAGGTATAAGTCAATACAATATATTTTGGATATATCTATGAAAATAAAAAATGAATTTAGTTTGACTAAAATAGTTTAAAACAAAAGAATATTTTCTTATATTTAAATTTTTTTAATCATATATTTTTTTAGAATATAAGAGTATTTTTATGATTGAGATTTTGACAAAAATTTCTTAAAAACAGACGAATATTTCTTTATATTTAACAAGAAAAATCAGAATTTTGGCAGAAATTTTGTCTTTCCCGACGAGAAGTATCTCGAAACATTTTGAATGTGGACGTAATTAAGACCCAAAAAGGACAAAAGAATATGGACGTAAATACTCGGAATCTTTAGCTTTTATTTTTATACATGTTCATATTTAAATTTCATGCTTTACATTTTTTTTCGATTTAGATTAGATTTGGCCTTTTTTATTTTACAAATCATTATAATTAGATTGATAAAAAGATATATTTAATTTTGAAAAATCGGTTTGATTATTTGATATTCTACATGTATAGTTCAAATCTGAATATTTTAGTTTTTGAAAATTTTATATCTATTTATTTTTATATTAATTTTACTTCCAATATAATTATGTCCGCGGTTGCAGTCGCTGATATATTTGGACCGCACTGATATGACATAATTTAAATTTGATGTATTTTAAATAATGAAGTAATGGGAAGCATCAAATTAGCTCGTGGATCACGCGATTACGGTCAACTTCATAATTTGACCAAATCTATCAACAATGGTAGGTCTACCAAACTAGACATATCACGTGTTCTTATTTCTCCGCCGTACTGGGAACGGTTCTCCATTAAAAAAAATTAAATAAATGGCGGTCCGAATGTGGAGTTTGAAGTAACAAATCTTTCAACTTCAGCGACATATATTATATACAACAATATAATATAATTTATAGTCGACGAAGAAAATTCAAATGTTCAGCTGGTTGGTAATAACAAATTAGAATTTAAATCCAACTGATATGGGCATGGTGGTGAATCTGGTTATATGATCATAAACAGTGGGCTCCTAAACTTTTCAAAAACATCATTAAAAACTTCAATTATATATAAATTTTAACAAATCATCGTATCTATTAAAGAAAAATCATAAATAAAACTTCAGTTTAATTAACTTCTTATTTTTCAACTCTATCTTAACACATATTTGAACGTTAGTTTCATTATGTTTAAGAGCCAACCCTAATGTTTCATGATAACAATTTTAATCGGGTGTGACAAAATAAAACTTATGAATCAAGAATTAAATATCGAGAATTGAGTTCATATTATAATCTGGGCTTCACAATAGGCCCTTAATGGGCCCTTAATGGGCCTCTAAAATATACGAAATAAAAATATATGGACGGCGAACCTAGCCCCGGGTCTAGTCGAGTAGGTAAACGAACTTAAAGAAGCAGATTCAAGATTTTTTTTTAAACAGATTCAAGATTCCTTTCTCTTGGTTTTTTTTATTTGTCTTCTTTGAAAAAATATTATCAAAGATACCAAAAACAGACACAAGTAAATAACCGATTTTATCCGGTTTAATTTACAGCTCAGATTTATTCGAATCATAATATGAATCTCAAACTTCTCAACCCACGTACAAGTTTGGAGACAATTGTACGTATAGTCTACAATCCTAATTATATTTTCTGAATCGAATGTGTAATAATGATACACGGCAGTATACAATAAGTTTTTATAAATGTGCCTATTTCGGGGGGGGGGGGGGG